TCTGGGCCAGGAGCAGCAGGACTCAGTACCTTGGTCTGATGGTCTGGTGTCCTCTGTGTCTTTGTAGTGTGGAACCAGGTGGCTGCCTGTCTGCAGCGGGGTGATTCGGGGTCTTCGGCGCAACTCAGGACCTGGGTAGGGCGTGCACAGACCTGCCTGTCTGCAGCGGGGTGATTCGGCGTGTTCTGTGCTGTGTTTATATATTTTTATGAGTAATTCAGTGAAGGAAGAAATTCAAGAGAAAGAGACAGTAACTGTAGTGTTGAGGTCATTGAGTAAGAAAATGTGATTAAAGATACCAAAGGAAGGGCTGGATGTTAGCAGCAGATACATTACTTCTAATGTAAGGAAAAAACAAGTAAAATATGTGGAGGCCACAGATGCAGGTAGGTTGGTATTTTAATGATGGGAAGATGGGTTAGTTCTTAGTTAACTGCATGCACTTAATTGGTTAAGGTTATTGGCTGAGAGTAAATGGAATGGAAGGAAAGAGCTTGAGAAGAGTGTCCTAAAGTGTAGACAAGAGAAAGTATGAGGGAAGCATGACAGCATCATCTGGCAGCATTGAATTCATTTGGAAATTTAGGGTAGAAAACTTTATAGGATGTTCAGACAACATGATTGTATGCATTTTCTCTAATAACACCAGTTTCTAAGGTGTGGTTGCAGCATAGGAGAATAGTTGGGTTTGGCTCAGGGTGAGTTTTTTCAGATACATAAGAGAGGGAGGGAGAAAGAGAGAAAGAGGGGGGTGGGAGGGAGGGAGCGAGGGAGAGAGAGAGAAAGAGAGAGTGCAACTAAAGTGCCAAATCGTGGATACTACCTGGCAAAAAGATAAATGACAACACAGTATCAAGGAAGTAAAAACTATCAATAGGTCAAAATATTGAATGTCCCTATTGAGTGAAAAAAAAGTTCTAAGGCAATTAGTAGGAATGAGATTGAAGCACAAAATGTGGGGAACAGATAGTGAGATAATGTTTTTTGTTCAAAGACTTTGAAGGAGGTAAAGGTATTGGTAATGATGACTAGTAATGTCTGGTGTGGCGGGAATGGCAGTGGCTGGTTGCAGTAGAGTGAGGGATATTATTGGTGTATAGAAGTTCAGGAATTGAGACACCATGATTTTTGGGTGGATCACCTACAAGGACAACAAAACTGATAAGATTAATTGTAAGAATAAAGAGAGAAACATGGTAAACCAGATGATAGTCATCAAAGAATGTTGGGCAAGAGTAAAGGGATTCTGGAAGATGACAACTATTAGGAGACACATTAGGTGTTAAGTATGAAGACATAATCTCAATGGACTTACCTTTCAAAGTTGAAAGAACAAATGTTTTGAAAGGATCAATAGGACCAAAAAGATACATACTCCATGTACAGTTTCTGAGTCAAATGAGAGGTTGAAGGAAAAGATGTCTTCCATATGAGAGGGAATTTTTTTTTCCAGTCCTGGATATTGCACCCAAGACTTTCACACTGGGCTACATCTCTGGCCCCTTTTTATTTTTTTTGAGACAGGGTTTCACTAAGTGACTAAGTTGCCCAGGCTGGGCTCAAACTTGTGATTCTCCTGTCTCAGCCTCCCAGAGTGCTGTAATTACAGGTATGTGGTACCATGCCTGGCAAGAAAAATCTACGTCTGAGAAAGGGGTTTCCTCAGGAGTGCCACACGTTAGTTAGATGAAGAAGGGGAAGCAGATATTACTAGGACATAGAAGAAACTTGAATAGAGCAGAGTTTGTGATGCAAATGGGGAATCCTAGAATATAGCGGAGGAGTTTGAGATCCCAATTAAGCCTGGGTACTATAATCAGACCGTGGAAGTGGTTAAGATTGGCAACACATGATGATGACCTTGGAGGTCTGGATTCTGGTGCTAACTAAAGTGCCTGGAATGTGGGATGTGTTAGAGAGGCCCTGAAGGTGAGTAACCAGCTTGATGCTGAAGACTTAGCACAGAGAGAGGTAAGTCAGTGTTTCACCCTGAATCTCACCAGGAGTGTCAGCCAGGAGAACGACAGAAGGCATGTGAAGGGGACTGAGCAGCAATGCTGTCTAGGGAGGAGCCACCTCCCCGGGAGTTCTAATTTCTGTTAAGACCTCCCAACCTTGGCCTCTTCCTTCATTGAGGAGTTATCAAGGCCTGAACACCAGTGGGGCCATGGGTGGATCCCCGGCGTGGGCAGCACAGACAGAAGGGCCAAAGTCTGTCTCATGGCAGAAAGTCTTATGACGATTAGAAAATGAGACCATGTGAGGAGATGAGGCCATTAGTCTCTCCTTCTGGGTGGAGGAAAGGGGTTAAAACTGCTCTTTTATTATCTGGAATTCTAGCCTCATTTTTAACCAACAAGTTTTCTGTGCTCCATTTGCCCCTGTATCCTAAATTGTGTCGCTCTGAACCTAAGAAAAGTCCTCATTTTCTATGACCATTATTTCAACAAATGATTTAAGTTAAGCCTGAAATGCCCTCATGAACCTTTCCAACAAATTCCAGTGATATTCAAGACTTCGGACAACTACTCCTCCCTTTGTTTCCAACTTCATCAAACAAAACAGACAAGAAATAATTAGAAATAGACATATGATACATAAATGAGAGATGATGAATAGACAAACAATAAGTGAGAGAAGGGGAAGGCATGAAGAAAAGAGAGGACAGATTGTAAGATGAATTTTGATGACTGACAAGATGCCTAGATAGTCTTTGGAATAATTTAGCTCCACATTCTTACAGGAAGGATAAACTTATTTAAAAACTTGATGAGCTAAATTAAAGCTGAGTTTCTAATTCCCCAACTTCTACATCAAAAATTAGTACAGATTCCCCTCAAAATTATAGATTTGAAGTAGGAAAGCCTAAAGGAAGTTAGAAGGCCACTCGGAAGCTGTTTTCCTATCCTCTGAATCTGAAACTGAAGCTCAAGGAGGTTAAGTACCGGGTTCAAGTTCTTCCATTAAGGACCAGGGATTTAGTTTAGTGGTTCTGCCTCCTGCCTCAGAAGCACAAGGACCTGAGTTCAATCCCTGGTACCAAAAAAAAAAAAAAACCCAAACAACAACTTCTTCCATTAATACATTAAGGTGGCTCTCTTGTGCAGGACCTCGGATGTCAAGTCCTGTGTGATATTGACTCTATGAGTGTCACCCTTTCCACTTAAAACCATAGAAGAGTCTGCAATTCAGAAGAAAAAGTTATTTTCAAAGTAGATTTGTTATCAGGAACATCTCCCCTCAAGGCTAAGTGCTTTTCTTATTAAACACATACCCACACGATTCTATTCTGTACTTTTTAAAGCTGGTGTGGCATATATCCAAGCAAAATGGGGAAATTTTTAAATTCAACAGCATTTCAAAGAATGTTAAGTTATCACAAGTGAGAATTATTCACTTGGGGCACTGAATTGTTTATACAGCTACTTTTAAAACAATGTTCATGAATGGTGATGTTTGTTCCATTAAAAAAAAAACTCTCCTGACCTTTTCGGTCTCATTGTTTAATTAGTTGATCCAAAGTAAGCATCCTAGGCATGTTTTACAATAACACCATTCTGTATTCCAAAATATTTTTATGGTATGACATACTTGAGCTATATTTACTTATGGAAGTTAGGTTTAGAACTACTTTAGAGCACGCACAGACCTTTAATCAACCAGCACTCCAGTGAACTTCCCATCCCATTCTCCTCTCAGATCTGCCCCTGTCATCCTTCCTCCCCATATTTCTACTTCTACAAGCATCCCTACCCAAACATACTGTAGCTCTTGACTTTCTACTTCTTCGATGTGTCCTATAGACCTCTCTTCCAATGTTAATAAAGCATTCTTTATGCTGTCTTCACACACCTCTCATGCTGACTGCCCTGTGTTCAAGAAGTTCTGTTTAATAACACCTCCTTGTTTCAGGCTAAGGCACCTGATCCTCCATTTGCCATTCCTCCTCACGGTTGTCCATAGACCTGAAGAGTCCTACTCAGTGGTGTTAAAACAAGGCTCTCTGTCCTCCTCCACACCCGGTCCTACAGCAACATTCCTCTATTTTCCTCCACATTCAGTTCCTTTTCATCACCTTTGGAAAGACCCATAGGCATGGGTGAACCTGTCAGGATACTGCCCTTGTTCCATGCAGGCAAACTCCATCTTAACTTCACATAATCTCCATTCATTACAGTTAAACTTCAGCTTTCTTCATCATCCATGTTACCTAATTTCTAAGTTCTCAAACTGAGATTCAGTTTACCCTTAAAGACCATATCCTGCCATCTCTCCAGTTTTCTCACTTTGTATTACCCCCAACTTCTGCATTTAGAGCTTCATAAAACCCCATAATCTCATAATGTATCTCAATTCATCTTGAGTTATCTTTCTATCCAGCCTGGTCCAATAGTTAGACAATTCATCCCAAAATCCTCCCCTCCCTGGTCTTCCCACTTTGTTGATCATCATCTGTCTTTCCCTCTGCTTACCAAACTTTCTCTGCCCACTGTCTCCATTTCTTCACCTGATTATTCCCTAATTTCATGACATCTGATTTCTACACACACTACTATACTGTTGCTGCTTTCTTCCCACTTTGCTGGAATTCATCTAATGAAGACTACCACACTGAGATTTGCTTGTGCCCCATGCCCTTGAATTGATCTTTCTGTAACATTTAATGCTGTTGGCTAGATAATATTCCTTCTAGTTCTAGCTCCCTCTCCTTGTGTTAGTCAGCTTTTGGTTACCGTAAAAAACTACATGGGACAGTCAACTTGAAAAGAGAAAAAGGTTTATTTTGGCTAACAATTTTTATAAGATTTAATGGATGGTTAGTTGACTCAGTTGTTTTTGGTTTTTTAAATGTTTTATTAGTACATGTTTGTAGTTTGCATGTAGCTTACAATTATTTTGGGGAGTATGTACATGTACACAAAACAACTATTTTTGTTTTTTAAGCCCCCTCTCCTTCCCTCCCTCTCAATATCTCCTCCTCTAATTTCCCCTTTTCCATTTTTATTCTGGTTGATATTTTTGATCTTAGCTCATGTTTATGGCCTATAATGTTTACATTCATTGAGGTTATTAGGTTCTTATACATAGTATATCTTTATTCTACTTATTTATAGAGACAGAAGGAACCTCAAAGATCATCTAATATGTTAACCTGTTTATTTTAAAATGGGAAAATTGAGACCAAAAGCAAGGAGTGACTTTAACAACTTCTCAAGGCCTATCAGTGGCTGCACTGGAATAAATTCAAGCCCTTATGCTGTTCCATGTAGTTTCTGGAACTTGCCACCTACAAGTACTCTAAGTCCCTGGTGAGTTTTACAAAGCATTCTGAAGCCTCGACCATTATTCCTGCCAGGCTGTTTCTGAGTTGACATGTTCTTCATCTCTTGTAATAACAGGTGATGAGATAAACTTTGGGAACATCTGCAAACAATCAACTTCTCTGGGTCTCCATTTCATGGTGATCTTATATGGCTGGATGTCACAATATATAGAGAAATGTATCCAGGGAGTAGGAAATAACAGGACTATAGTAAACATTTACCCTCTGTCCCTATTTCTCTGCAAATACTCTCCAAACCTAAATCTGCAAGCTAAACTCATACCAGAACCTGAGACTCAATGTACATATCTCCTTTGATAATCACTTGGCACCTCATTCTTGGCAACTTGAAACTCCACCATCTACTACCTCAAGCCAGTTCTTCTCCCTTTCTTCCCTATTTCTGTAATTGTGACATCATCCTTCCAGTTATTAAAGCTCCAAACTAAGAAATCATTTTAATTATCTTTTATCCCTACCTCATATCCCAAAGACTGCTTCTACCATGCCCTTCGGTGTCCTTCCTACTCCCACCCCCAGAACTCTGGTCCTAACCAGCATTGGTGCTTGTCAAGAGCATCTTCTCACAACATCTTTAGTGTTCTGTTCACCTGCAGTCTCCTCCCACTTCAGTTCTACAAGGTTTGCTTTCCTAAAAGCATCTCTGATCATGTGATTCACCAATCTGAAAGACTGTAATAGACCTCTCTTGCTCACTGAGTAGGGCAGATTTCTCAGCCTGGCAATCAGAACCTTCCACAATAGACCAAATCTGTTACTACATGCTCTCTAAACACACCCTGTTCTTTCTCCCCTTTCTGTCATTGCTTGTGTGCTTCCTTTTGCTGTGGAGCTTTCATTGCCAAGTATATCTACTAAAACATGGCCAATATTCAAGGTTGGGCTCAACTTCAGGAAGTCTTTCCTGATCCTGAGTTGGATTTGATTATTATTTTTTAATAGATCTTCAAAATTTTTATTTTATTTTATTCTATATGTTTGTATTCTCTACTATTAATAAGCACCATGAAGACAGGGATCAGATCTTATTAATTGTTATATTTTCTTTTTTTTAGTTACTTAAATTCTTTTATTGGTACATTTTAGGTATACAACACATTTACATTTCTCATTGGGAACTTGTAACTTTACATGATGCATCTTGGTTCTTATTTTTTCCCCATTCCCAGCCCTCCCTTAACCCCCTAATTATTATATTTTCATAGGATTCAGCAAAATATTTTGCACATGAAAGACTGTCCATATGTATTTGTTAAATTCACATGTGTATGTCTTTGAGAAATCACACACTTGAATTCAGTATTTTTTAAACTGCTCATTATGACCATTTTTCTATGTAGACAAAAATGGCACTTTCAATGCTTCTTGGTGACCTACTTCCTAGAAATTGATGGAAAGGCCTTAGAAGATAGATATTTATCACAGTTGTGAAATATTTTCCCCATTCTCTTGGCTTCTCCCTCAAATCACAGGGATGACTGTGGATGAAATAGATTAAATGACCAATTTAAAGAAAAATAATTGCTGTAATCTTCTTTCCTGGTTAAAAAGACAAGAAAATATTGCCCCCTCTGAAGAGCTGGTATACAAGAGATGAAGAACATGTCAACTCAGAAACAACCCCACAGGAATAACGGTCGAGGCTTCAGGATGCTTTGTAAAACTCACCAGGGACTTAGAGTACTTGTAGGTGGCAAGTTCCAGAAACTACATGGAACAGCATAAGGGCTTGAATTTATTCCAGTGCAGCCACTGATAGGCCTTGAGAAGTTGTTAAAGTCACTCCTTGCTTTTGGTCTCAATTTTACCATTTTAAAGTAAACAGGTTAACATACTAGATGATCTTTGAGGTTCCTTCTGGTCTCTACCCTTCTCTGATTCTAAGATAAGTCTGAGTTTGTGGCCCCTGAAGTAATTCATCAAAGAGAAGGAGAATCTGAGTACTATAGTCAGACTCTAGAGAATAAATCCAACTTTGACCTCTCCAGCTGCATGATATCAAGGAAGATACATAATTAACTTCTCTGTTCTGTTTCTTCATCTGTAGAGAGGTTATGTCGCTAATAATAGTAACTATGCCCCAGGGTTATTATAGAATAAAATAAATGTACAAATTGCTTAGTGCAATATCTGGCATACAGCAAGCACATGACAGAGTCGGTGATTATTAACTTAAATGAGATCTATTTTCAGAAAGAGTGGATGTATCCTAAGAACACTTACATAGAGCACTTTCTGCAGGTATGTGTCCAAGCACAACCTGAGCATTTGGGAAATGGCCTTAGACTGCCAAAGGCAGAGGTTACAAACTCATGTGTGCCTCCTGAGTGACTTTTCTCAGGATAGTGTCGTTGTTACTTAATTTAATTAGTTGTTAACATTTGAAAATCAGAGTACCCCATTTCTGGCTTCTTTAAAAGCAAATTGGAGGGCTGGGGATTTAGCTCAGTGAAAGGTCCTGAGTTCAATCCCCAGAACCTGAAAAAAAAAAAAAAGGAAATTGGAGTGTCTGGCAATAGTAACCTTTCATTCCTGGACAGCACCGACGATCAGGGCTCCCCCTCAACGTTCACATCACTTCCTGTTGTCTTCCAGCCAGCCTGCTCCATTCATTGATATTGTGTGTCTCACCTTGTAGGCATTTCTGTTTTAATCCTTGTCCTAGGCAATTAGAACACCTGTTCTCCATGAAAGAAAGTCCACATTTTCCTGCACAATCCACAAAGGAGCTAACACACAGAGGGAACTGGCACTGCAGTAGGGAATAAGAGGGAACTGTAATTACATTATTTGATGTCTGCTCCAGCTTGGCCTGGAATCTCCACATGCTTAGACTTCCCAGCCAAATGAGTCATTATATCTTCTTCTAACTGAGATAGCTTTTGTTTGGGTGTTTAATTCCTTGAAACAAAGACACATAACCAATTCTATGACTAGGGTAGCCAATTCATCCTTTGATGGCAGAAAGTCCCTTATTCCTGTATAACTCACAGTCCCAGTCAAACTGAGATTGTTGATGGCAGTGTGTTCATAGCAGAGTATTGTTCAAAGTTGTCTTAGTCACTTCTCTATTGTTGCTGAAACAATACCCAACATCCAAAGTTAAAGGGAGAAAGGTTTATTTACCTCACAGTTTGTAGAAGTTTCTGTCCATAGTTGGCTGGCTCCAAGGCAGAATGGCACATGGCATAAGGGCATCACAGAGAAGAAACAGTTCATTGTATGCAGAAGGCAGGAAAAGCAACAAGGGACCTTAACAGTGTCTTTCTGCCCCTTTTTTTTATCAGGCTACTTATGGTGGGTAGTACTCACACCCTTAATCCTAGTGCCCTTGAGCCGAGCATTGCACCATGACTCAATTCCAGAGTCTCATATTCTAGATCCAGCCACCTCTGAAAAAGTCCCACCTATGACTGCATGAGGTTTTGGGGGACATCTAGACACAAGCCATAAGATTCCACCCTGGTCCCCCAAAGACTTATGCACATCCCTTTATGCAAAAGGCATTTAGTCCAGCTCCAAGAGTTGCCAAAGTCCTAACAGTTTCAGCACTGCTGAAAAGTCCAAGTCCAAATTCTCCTCTGAGATTTAAGGGAAACTCTTAGCTGCAAACCCCTGTATAAATGGAAAGAAAGTTAAACACTTCCAACATTCAATGGCACAAGATAGACATTTTCATTCCAAAAGTTACAAACAGGGAGATCGCAAGGAATGGGAACAAAGTAAGACCAAAATCCAGCAGGGCTAACATTAAATCCTACAGTACCACTTTCAGCATCCCCAGTAACCTGTGGCAAGTTGTGAACTCCAAAGGGCTTGGGTGGCTTCACCCCTATGGCACTTCAGGTGGTGGTAGCTCCCATGACTTTCTCTTGGGCTGGCTCTGCTCCTTCCTTACAGTTTTCCTCAGACGGTCCACATTCTTGGCTTCTCCGAACTTCTGGAGTCTCCACTGTACCTTTGGCTTCACACTCACAGCTTCACACACTGCCCTCTCAGGGACACCCTGCCTGGCCTCCCAGGCCTTCTTCTGAAATCTGGGTGGAAGACTTCCTGACCCCACAACTCTTACATTCTGCCTCCCCTAAAACAAACACCATGTGGATGATGCCAAGGTCTGCTGCCAGCTGAAATCGTAGCCAGGCTTCATCCTCTCTTGGCTTTAGGAGTCCAGTGCCTATGAACAACCTCCCTAGCCCATTGCCATTCTGGAACGTGGTACTCTGAGGCTCTCTTCTCAAAGCAGTCTTTCACTTTTGCAATTTTGAGGCTGCAAAGGGTGGAGTCCTCCTGCTTCTGGTGATTCCTTCAGGCCATCTTTTCTATTCTCCTGTTCCTTCTCAGCAATTAAGATCTCCTCTGTTATAGGGAAAGGGTAAGGGGACATTACCAGAGACCTCTGCAGTGGTCCTGGTCTCTTGCAAGCCAGTATGACATCTGTGAGATAGGAAAATGAGAATTAAAAGAAACACACAGCCAGAGACTTGAGAGAAACTGAGTCTTGGGCTGATCTAAGCTGCTCTGGTGAACAAAGACAAAGAACTCCCAGGACATCCAGTGTTTATTCATCACAAATGTGGGAAGAGGGGAAGCTGGGCAGGCCTTGGGACACCTGTTGATAACAAGTATCAACCAGGCAGGACTGTAGAATGAGAGCACAAGCATATCTTTGCTGAAGAAAACAAATGGTTAATTTAGAGGGGAAGAATTTAGTTGGAGTCAGTTGACCCTGACTGGGAGTGAACTCAGCCAAGCTCTGATGCTTCCAATGTAACACAGCTGGATTATGGAGGGGGAAGAAGCTTGTTCCACTTTAGCATGCTAATACAGGGCAAAGATGTCTGCTACACTCTGTTCTATCTTTGCAGCCACAGCTTTACTGGAGCTTCCTTTCTGGCCAAACTCAAAACATTTTAAACCATTCTGCTGGGCTCTTTGCTCTTGATTCTCAACATAAATCTAGCTAAAAGCCCCCACAGTAGCCGTGCCACAACCTCAACATTAGACTTCGTTGAAATTTCTCCTGCCAGATTAATTCGTCTGCCACCCTTAATCTCAGTCTCAGGCCAAGTCTCTGGACAAGAACAAAATGCAAACAAACCTTCTGCCAAGGCATAGCACACATTGTCTGGAGTCCAACAGCCAATGCAGTCCTTCCTAGTAGAAATCTCCCGAGCCTGGTCTTTATTGGCAAGATTTCTATCAGTGTTTTGGTCCTTTGAGCTTTAACCACAATCTCCCATCAAGTACTTCCTAGGTGTTCCAGTTGTACTTTTTCAGCTGGTATCTCTGAACCTTTCTAAACTCTTCCCACAAGCCAGTCCCAAAGGCTCCAGAACCACACTGTCATGTATAGTCACAGCAATGACCCTACTTCTCTGGTACCAAATTCTGTCTTTGTTACTTTTTCTTGTTGCTGAGACAAAATACCTGACACCCAAAGTTAAAGGAGGAAAGGCTTGTTTAGCTCACAGTTTGTAGAGGTTCCAATCCATAATTGGCTGGCTCCAAGGCAGGGTGGCATCACAGAGGAGGAGAATGTTCATGGCAGGCAGAAGGTAGCAAAGCAACAAGGGACCGTAACAGCATCTTTCTGTCTCTTTTATCTTACCCAGGATACTTAGGGTGGGTAGCACTCACACCCTTAATCCTAGTGCCCTTGGGCCTAGCACAGCACCATGAATCAATCCGAGCATCACACACTCTAGATCCAGCCACCTCTGAAAACCCCCCACCTATGACTATATAAGGCTTTGGAGGACATCTAGACACAAGCCATAACAAAAATCATTAGCTGTCATTAACCCCGATGCTTTCTACCTCTCCACATTACATTGCTCATTTTCACTTCCAAAACTTATCACTATATTTTCAAAACTATGGACCAAATCTGGTTTCTAATACCATTCCCCTATAAAATAAACCAGAGCTCCTTGGAGAAATGACTGAATCTAGGGCGGGAGAAAAAAAATCCTGGACCATCTGATAGTATTAGAAAGTAATTTTTGAAAAAATAAAATGATGGGGCATATCAAAGAGACACCAGGGCCCAGTTGAAAGAGCTCTCAAGGGCCAAAATTGGAATAATATGAGCAATAAAATAAATAACATAATATTAGTTTACAACTCAAAGTAAAAAATAAATATCCATGAGTCTATGATGCTATAAACAAATGGCTGAATAAATAAGTGGGGAGGAGAGATAAGTCTTCCTTACGAAAGAATTCCAAATAATCTACATAGATCCTGTCCTGATATATCATGTTGATAGAATATAACCTTAATATGACACCATGAGAATGACATTATACTTCTGTGGTCTACCTCTCCAAAACTCATGAACTTCATAAAACCATGAAGAAAACTTTGAAGAAACCCAAAGTGAAGGGCATACTACAAAAAAAAAAATCTGACCAGTATTTCTCAAAATTGTCATGGTCATCAAGACAAGGAAAAGTTTGAGAAACAAGTATAGAATACAACAGGTTACAGAGACATGAGGCCTTAGTCTATTTGTGTTGCTAAAACAGACTGAGTAATTTAGAATGAACAGAAATTTATTGGCTCACAATTCTGGAAGTTAGGAACTGCAATATTAGGGAACTGGTGAGGGCCTTCTTGCTGTGTAGTAAGTGACAGAAGCCATCATATGGCAGAAAGGCAAAGAGAGAATGGCAGAGAGCGAGGGGGAACAGACTCATTTCCAAGATACCAGCATTAGACCTTCAGGAGAGCAGAGCTCTTGTGACCTAATCCATTAAGGCCCCACCTCCCAATACCATCACAATGGCAACTAAATTTCATGTGAGTTTTGGAGGGCATAGACATTAAAATCATAGCACATGATAACTAAATACAATGTGACATTCTGCATGAAATCTTGAAAGGACAAAAAAAAAAGATATCACTTGAACTATCAGAGAAATGCGAATCAAAACTGCATTGAGATTCCATCTCACCCAGTCGTAATAACTTACCAAAAGAACAAAAAATAACAAATCCTGGTCAGTATGTGGAGAAAAAACATATACTTTTGGTGGAAATGTAAATTAGTAGTCACTATGGAAAACAGTGTAGAGGTTCCTCAAAAACTAAAAATAGAACTATCATATGATCCAGCTATCCAATTCTTGTGTATATCAGAAGGAAATGAAGTCAGCATTCAAAAGAGATATCTGCATTCTCATGTTTATTGTGACACTATTCACAATAGCCAAGATATGGAATCACCCTACGTATCCATCAACAGATGAATGAATAAAGAAATTATGGCATATATACACACAATGGGGTACTACCCAGCTGTAAAGAATCAAATCATGGGGCCAGGGATTTAGCTCAGTGGTACCATGCCTGCCTTGCAAGCTCAAGGTTCTGAGTTTAATCCCCAGTACCAAAAAAAAAAAAAAAAAGAATCAAATCATGTCACTTGCAGGAAAATGGATGGAACTAAAGAACAACGTGTTAAGTGAAATAGGCCGGAATCATATGTTTCTCTCTCACATGGAAACTTAAAAAACAAAAATTTAAAAAAATGACTCAAAAGTAGAAGGACTATTAGGGACAGGAAAGGGGACCTGTGGGATAGAAGGTGGAAGTGAGGTAAACATGATCAAATCATGATGTATGCATGTATGGAAACATCACAGTAAAATCTATTGATTTGTACAATTAACATGTGTTAACAGTTATAATTAAAATATAAAAATTAAAAATAGAAAAGGATATTGGATGGGCTGGAAGTATGCTATAGCTCTAAAAAAAAGAAGTATAGAGTCACGCGGAGGACGCCGAGTCACCCCACTGCAGACAGGCAGGTCTGCCCACACCCTGCCGAGGTCCCCAGTCCCACCCAACACACCCAATCAGCCCGCTGCAGACAGGCAGGTCTGCCCACA